CGACTTGTAACCATATTTCGTGTAAGAAGTCTTAAATTAAGAACCGTTGGGTTCTCGAGGGGGTACCAAGATGAAACATGGGAATCTCCAGTTGATAAGAATATTAGAGCGACTCTTAGTATATTATGAAGTATTTAAAATAGTATGGAAAATATTGAGACTCAACCCTTTTTGCTCCTTACGTAGAGGTAAAACCTCGTGTTTCGAGGTTTTGGCTTTTAAATGTTCCTCGCACCACGATTTTCATTCCACTTGAACTATTTCTTTTCAATGTTCGTTAGATTCCATAGAATGAAACTACTTTTCTTTTCTTTTTTTTCAATTCAATCACGAAGCGATAAAACTGTTTAAGGATATCCAAGTATCTTTTATAGTTTGATACAAACCATAGTATAGATTCAACAATTTTCAATCATCACATTTGTCAATTAAATTGTGTGACAAAAATTTAAAAAAAATCATGGATATTCAGCGTCATTCAAATTATAATTTTTTAGGGAATTATCATTTTTTTAAACATTCTCTTCTTATAAATATATATATATATATTTTATTTTTATTTTTTCTATTTCATTGGTTTTATCGAAATAATTCTCGATTTGAAACCCCTCTAGCCTGCCTTCCCTCCTTTCTTTTTTCCTCTCATTATCTGCGGTATCATGGCCGTCTTACTCTTAGCTGTGCCCCATTCGAGCTAGGACTGCACGGGAAACCATGTAAAACCCCAGTCGCACAGCCGGCCGATTTGTGCAGTGCCCTAATATATCCATCTGTCACACTGACTAGATGGAGACACTAGGCCGCTACGCCGTACCTACCACCCGCAATTTTTGTGCGAGCGAGGTGTTCCTAAGCGGTCCACCCATCCAAGTACTAACCCAGCTCAACGCTGCTTAGCTTGGATGTCCGCTGGAGCAACACCTCACCCACCTAGCCATTACAGTCGGTTCCCTTCTTATAAATAATTAATTGAAATTGTTTAAACTTTCAGATACCTTATTTTTTTAGGCATGGAATCGATTTCTGGTAAAATTCTGAATATGAATAAATTTTTTGCCTTTCCGAACAAATGATTTTTATCGTGGAAAATTGATTGTTCATAAATTATTTTTCAAAAAGGCCCGTAATTTTCAAAAATTTCAATTTTTCAATTGTTTTATGAATTCCTCCAAAAATTACTCTTTCTAATTTTTTTCACATTTTGAAAATATTTTCTGACGGTTCAATATCGAGATTCAAATTCAGACCTTCACATTTTAAATAATAATATCATTGCAAAATGTCTGGAAACTTAGGGTCAAATGGAGCTAAAATGAAAGCTCTGATATTCGACGACAAAAGTAGAAAAGCATTTCATTGAGTAAAAAATAGCCGAAGCACTTGGACATCCTTAAGTTGCCTACTCCTTCACCTGAGTTTTTGAGGAATATTGCAGAATGTAAGGGAAATAGCCAAATTTTTGCAATAACCTTTTTTGTAACTCGAATGACAATTATGATACGAGGAGCATTTTGAAGCCACATACCTGGAAAACTATGTTCTACCTCGACGTATGGGGGAAAAATGAGTTGTGCCCAAAATTTTCGTTACTTTTTAGGTATCCCTTAGTCTATACAGACTCGCTCAACGACTATCCTTATCAACCGAGAACTTCCAAATTCCACCTGGGTTCGAAGTTTCACCCTGGCTTAAGGGGATATACACCACTGTTTAACCCTCAGAAACATTTGACCTTTCATCTTTTTTCGACTAATAAAGTTAAAAAAAAAGTTGCCCAAAATTCGCTCTAAATTCGTTTTTGCTAACGTTTCACTTTGCCCCGCGTTCCACTTTGCCCCGCCGTTCCACTTTGCCCCACCGTTCCACTTTGCCCCGGTCTCCCCTACGTTATTAGAAACCATCCACAGGGTCAAAAGGATGCAATTACAGGAAGATATCACATCAGGAAACGTAGACAATTGTACTAATATGTTCAATTATCCACGTGTAACATCATCTAAACGAACAGTTGAACAGTTTGATCTTCCTAATTTTGACTCAATGAAAGACAGGATTGACCAAGCAAAACAAGAGGGTTTCATAAAAGGGAAGAGTTTAGGTATGGATGTGAAAATTTCAGAGTGCATAAAAATATCTGTGAAATGTCTGGAAACCGGTGAGAGTAAGGCAGATGAGGTTAAAGATACAGGAGTTGCTGCTGAAGAGTTCATAAGTGAAGATGCCTCCGGTGAAAATTCTAAAGAGTTATTACAAGATTTAAATGTTCTTAGAAATGTGGAAGGTCACTTAGATTTAACCAATTGCGATAAGTCTACTGTGAGTTTGGATCCTGACGGTCCATTTGTACCAGACAAAGATGGAGTAGGTAACGAAATGATTGTTCGCAAGTCATCCATCTGTTGGCTCCTGAGTAAAGGACACACAAAATTGAGTAGCGATAGATTACAGAGAGTGAGAGAACAAGAACTGATGAGATACGCTAGTCGGCTGGATCGTATTGCTCATGAAAGTAATAATAATGCTTTTATAAAAAAATGTGATGAAATAAATATAGGAGACTGGTGTTTGTTAAAAGAAAACGATTATGAAACATTTTTATTAGGATTAGTACTGAACTTTGCGTACGCAGGAGGAACAACATTTCATGTTACAAGGAGGGGTAACGGAGGTGATCTTTGTGCTCCTGCGGCCCCCAGGGACCTTTAAGGTCATAAGGGCCATACGGGTCACAAGGTACAACAAGGAACAATAGATTACGTCAAGAATTTTCTGGTTCATACGCGCGTGTTGATGGTAACAAAAGAGATATAGGTGTTTTGTGTTGTTGGTATATTTTAAAGACAAATTCAGATACGTTACTGTCGCAGCCAATGAGGTCGCAGGGCTATGTTGATATTAAAAGATATCGAAAAACAATTTCACCTCCAACGTTTGATGATGAAAGGCACTTGCAAGTTGACCAAAAATTTTTGAGAGAAGTAAAAAAGTACTTCTAGTATTGTTCATTTGTTTATTAGAAATAATAATAATTTGTAAGCGTTCGTTAAATGTTTTTTGATAATAAAATCAATCGTTTTGATGTCGGAATTTGGCGCCTGCTCCAGTTCTCTATCCTACCATTACTCATACTTTACGGCTTTGTGTAGATGGCGCGCATGCGCCGATCGCCTTAGCAAGAGTGACTGTGCGACGCACTTTACTTGGATGCGCGCTGTGGTGCGAGACACTGTACTTATATTCTAAAATACACTTTCATTATTAAAGTCAATCTGTGTTTAATTATTTTGATATCCTGAAGATCCCCAAATACCAACAGGTTATGGGACTCTTCATGCATTAACTGCGGTTTGGAGATTAAAAGTGAAAGTGAACAAATAAAAAAAAAACTGAATCATTGGCGCGTCGCGTTGGGCGGACTTCGAGACACGGTGTGAGCGTTGAGAAAAAAAAAGGAAGGATCGACAAGGATGAATGAAGGAACACATGGGAGTAACATCCCAAACAAAATGAGTAAGTACAAAGTGAAAAATCAATAAAAGCGAATGAAGTGTCGGGGAAAGGAAATAATAAAAATTAGCAGGACTGTGAGGTTGGAAAAGTGGCGTCACAACCTACATGGCCCACGCCGACGCCATGAAATGAAAGGGGATCTGAAAAATGAATCCAGAAATTCCTAAATAAAAGATTAAAAATTATAATAAATAAAAATATATTATTGAAGGTACGACTAGAGTAATCAAAAAAATATTAATCAATTTTGTATTAATCTGGGGAGGAACGACGCACTGTGGGTGCGCGCGCAGCACGGGTGAGTCGATGGGGAGAGGTAAGGCTGCAGCAATGTGACGAGCTCGAGCAATTAAATAAGAATAGATATAGTGTGCACGTAAACGGTATCTTCCCGTCGTTTCTCACGTGTGAGCGCGGTAAATTCAAACAAGATGGAAATGATCATTTCAAATTTGATGAATGAATAAATTCAAAACGTGTGGGAAACTTAATCTATTGAAACTCTAATATTTTAATAAATTATTACTTGAAACAGATGACGACCTGCAACAACTCTGGAGCAAACTCACCAATGATTTTCAATTGGATGTACTCCATGAGGGAGAATCCATTACATTATTGATACTAGGGGAGAAACTCAGGGTTATTACAGAAACTGGTTCTGGTTACAGAACAGGTGAGATTAGGAAGGGCAACTAAAAATATAAATTGATGTGAAAAGAGATTCAATCAAGTAAATTAAATAAATTAAAAATACTAGTTAAATTGAATAAATTCGAAAACAAATCATATTAAGACTCTGGAGAGTTAACCGGTGAAAGAACACTGATGTTCGGGGTTCGGAAACTGGTTGACTTGGACTGATTCAGGATAAATTTTGATTTTCATATTTTGAAAGTTTCGGTTCCTTCTGTGGTTAGCCATATTGAGGTTCAGTTGACTGATCCCAGAGCACTCGATTCTGGCATAATTTATTAATGTAAATGGCCTATTTTAATTAGATAAGAGAATGATTGAGGAACAGTGGAGTTCTTTGGAATCATGGTATAAAGGGAGGATCTTTGCAGGACAAGCTACAGTTATGCCAAGAATTACCCCAGAGCAGAGCCCAATCATGTCATAGGGAGATCAGGATGGTAAAGAAGATCAGACTGATCTGGAAGGTCAAGAAGATATGCAAAGTCACAAAGGCAGTGAAGATGAAGGGAATGAACACATTGTTGGAGTCTCAATACCTGACAAAGGGAAACCAAAAATCATTAGTGATGTATCAGCTCAGATAAAATTTATTGATCCTAACTCCATCATCGGGAATTCCAATCAAAAGAAGATTGGAGACACCAATAATTCAGGGTGAAATAAATTATGGGAAACAGTTAGTGCACTCACTGATAGCCTAAAAAGGACTTGTCATGTGAATGCAGAGGTTGGGAGCTATTTGGTGGAGGCGATTGAGGTTTCGAGGAAGCATGATCAGACAATGATGGAGATGGAAAGCAAAAGACAAAAGATAATGAATGAACAACTAGCCCAACTAAAGGAAATCACTTCAAACTTTCTTAAAATCTGTGGAACTAATATTCCAAGGACTGAAGGGGGAAATGGCAACACAGGTGCAAAAAGTAGTGAAATTGTTGGTCGGATGGAGGGGGAGCGTCAAGGGGAAGAGTCACAAGTCAATAGTGAAAAGTCTGGTAAAGATTCTACGAAAGAATTAGCAAAAGCAATTAAACTAAGTCTATCGAGTAAAAACTCAGGAATAAGAAGAAACTGTGTTTGATAGTAAAATGAAATATGAAAACTTTTACGATTACTTTCAGTCAGAATTAAGATCACACAAACTATTGCATGTAATTGATAAAACTCGAATGCCGTGTTGATGAGAAAACGCTTGAAGATCAAAAATTTAAAGTCAGAAATATTCTTATTAACCATTTAGACAGGAAGTATCACTCAAGAATCATGAAGTATAACGATCCAGTAGATATCTTATCATCATTAAAGGAAATTGAAAGATCTGAAAATAATGTCACCTCATTTGCTGTTAGAAAATAAATATTTAATATGAAGTATGTAAAAGGAAAGACAACAGCTCACGAATTTCTTCAAAAATTTGAAGATACAATAGCGAGCTATGAAAATTCCCCGGGTGCAAATCCTGTATCTGAAGACGAAAAGAACGACGCACTACTCAATGCAGTAATGGTATCAATACCCTCAGTTCAAACACATGAGAGGACAGCTAAATTACACAAACTACCACCTCTCACATATGATCAGCTTTATCTTATTGTTATGGAAGATGAAGCCATAAATAAACAAGTCAGTGGGGATAAAAAGAATATTCGTGCAGCAAATTTTGCTGGGAAAGGCACATGGTATTATGATTGTGGCAGTTATGATCATATTGCTTTGTATTGTCCTAACAAGGGACAGAAGGTATGCTACAAATGCAATGGAGTTGGTCACAAAGCAAAAGCCTGTCCATCAGGTGGCGGATCCAGCAGTCAGTCGAGGGGTGGCTACAACAATTCTAAATTGCGGGGGTATTATTCTCAGGATGTCATGGGTCGAGATGCCATGAGATGTGGAATCAAAAGGAAGATCGAAGGTGGAGGTCAGAATACTGCTAAACGAGGACGATTCAATGATGGCAGGGGGTTTGGCAGAGGTAGAAATCAATCGAAGTACCAAAGGTCCAAGACATGGACAAGGACAACTTCAGCTAAGAATGGAGACAAATCATCTGATGGTGACAATGACCAGTATAAAGGTAAGAGAACAGATAACATTTACACCGATGAAACAAAAAATTCTATGAAAACTGAACATGAAAAGATACAAGGTAATGCTTTATCTGTCGATACAACTAATGACAATAATGGAAATTTGTTATCGAAATTCTTAGCTGACTCAGGGGCCACCGAACATATGTCCAATTCGAAACTCATTTTGAAGACATTTGATGAGAACAGTATAGGGGTGATTAGGTGCTCTAATAAAGATAAATCAGCAGATTTAAGAACGGAGGGAGTGGGAACCGTAGAAATAGAGTCGATGAACGGGAATAGATTAGAAATCGACTCAGTAATCTTCGCTGAAGCATTACACGCTAATTTGTTGTCTTTAAGGAAATTTGCTGAAATGGGGCTTGCCATCTATCTATATGACAAACAAATAGACATTTTTGATCCGATATCCAATCTATCAATTATTAAGGGTCCGTATAAAAGATCCTATTGGGTCATAGAACTAGAAACAAGGGAAAGTAAATTAGATTCTGAGGAGATTAGAGAGGAAAAGAATATAAAAATAACAGCATATGCAGCTGAGAGTGTGATAAAAGGAGTTAGATACAACACTCGGAGTGTTACCACAAAACAACAAATTGAACCAATCGTAGAAAACATTAATGATCAGAAAGAAGAACCAAAAGAAAATGAAATTACAACAGATGGATTTGAGCTCAGAGAAAATTTCGAATGAAAAAAATGAAGTCACTAACAATAAACCGATGTATGAACATTCGAATTTTGACTATACAATATGGGACAGAAATTTCCATAATGTTGATGAACTACCATTTGAGGAACCCATTGAAGAGTTAAATTCATTCAAAGCTGAAGACAACAAATTCAGGAAAAACAATAGGGCAATGCTATGGCATGTCAGATTCGGACATACATCAATTTCTTATCTCAAAGCTTTACAATTGAAGTATCCAGAAAACAAAGAATTAAATGCAGCTATCTTTGATGAATCAATTTCGAATCGTGAAGTCTGTTTGGCTTCAAAATTTAAGAAATTATCATTTCTTGTGACACGCAGCAGAGCTACAGCTCCTTTACAGATTATACACTCTGATGTAATGGGACCCATATCCCCAATAACACATCCTAAAGGTTACAAGTTCATCTCAGTATTCATTGATGATAAGACTAGATTTGCAATGGCATGCCTAACGAAAGCTAAAAGCGAAACTGGTCACTACCTAGAAATATTCGTTAGAAGCGCGAGAAATTTGTTAGGTTATGACGCGAAGGTATGCTATCTGAGATCTGATCAGGGAACAGAATTTACAGGAGGATACACTATTGAAGTGTTGAACAAACTAGGTGAGGAATTACAATTAGCATGTCCAAACACTTCTGAGCACAATGGAGTAGCCGAGAGATTCAATCAAACGATACAGAAAAAGGTTAGGACGTATATGTTTGATGTGAAGCTTCCTGAAAACATGGGATCTTGCACTGTCATCTGCAGTGTATGCCTACAACAGAACCCCACATAAATCGAATCAAATGAAGACCCCATTAGAAGAATTTGCTCCAAATCATAACTGTAACATTAATCACATTGAAAGATTCGGGTGCGTTAAGGTTCAAAGAAAAACAGGATCAAAGTTCAGGGTTGAGGGGGTGAGGGTAATACTGATTGGATACACTCCAACGGGGTATCAGTTTTTGAAACCAGAAAATGGCAAATATTAAGAAAGTAGACATGCAAGGTTCAACGAAAAATTAGTCTATGGCGATAAATTCAACAAGAATGAGATTAAAGATTTTCCATCAAATCAAGAAGAAATTAATCAAAACGAATGGTTCGTTAAAATTAATGAGAACACTAACTCAACTGAGGAAACATTGAAATCGGAGGGAGAGAAGAAGCGTAAGAGGGGAAGACCCAGAAAAGAAACAATTGAGTCCAAAGAAAATAAGATAATAGGTGTAGGTGAAGGTACGGTGAAAACAATAAATTCGAGTCCCCTATCAGTTGAAGAAAACGTAAATTCAGGCATTTTCATGGCATGTATCACTCAAGAAGATACAGAAAGGTTAGATGAACTGAATGATGAAAATCATCATGCATTACTAGCATCCATTAATTCAGATCCATTGAACTACAATGACGCAATGAAAAGTAAAGACAAAGAAAATTGGAAAAGGGCAATAGCTGAAGAGCTCAATTCTATGAAGAAAAACAAGGTTTGCAGATTGGTTGATAGACTAATAAAAATGAAGAATGGTAAGAAAGTCAATATCGTTGACTCGGAATGGGTGTTCAAAAGGAAGCTAGAAGCAAATGGGGAAATTAGATGGAAGGCTAAATTAGTAACTCGGGGCTTTAAAGATACTAATGTTTACGAACTAAGGGAGACATATGCTCCTGTCTCCAGGATGCCATTGGTGAGGGCAGTAATAGCAATCATTAATAAATATGATCTCGAGGTATGTCAATTGGACGTCAAAACGGCGTTTCTGAATGGAGAAATAGAAGAAGAAATTGATATGGAGATTCCAGAAGGAACTCCACATACAAACAATGAAAGAAGGGAAAACGTTTGCATAATGGAAAGGGCTCTTTACGGACTAAAAATCAGTCCAAACACGTGGAACGTTAAGTTCACAGAAATTGCTCTTAGTGTAGGACTGACTAACTCAGACTCAGAGCTATGCATATTTATATGGAGAGAAGGTCATAGATTCTTGATCCTTTTACTTTATGTAGATGATATTTTGCTGGCCAGTAATGATAAAAAAAAACTTGTAGAAGTTAAATTAAAGTTAATCTCTAAATGTGAAATTACTATACTGGGTGAACCAAAAGAATTTCTTAGTATTTCAATTAGACGCGACAGAGAAAACAGATTGATCAGATTATCACAAAAAAAATATGTCGATAAAATTTTGAGTAAATTTGGGTTTGAGAATTGTCATCCACAAAGAACACCAATGCTAACTACTCAGGCATCCAATCATGAAAGAACATTGAGGGAATCCGATATGAACGGGGAGTTGACAAGGTGCGATGAAGTCAAAATTAATTGTCCATACAGAGAAGTAGTTGGCAGTCTCTTGTACTTGGCTAGTACAACAAGACCAGATATCCTACACAGATATCCTACACAGTCAATGTCCTGAGCAGACATCAAATAAATCCGACTGATGAGGATTGGTTAATGGTGCGAAGAGTATTAAGATATCTGAAAGGTACGAAATAATTTGGTCTCAAATACTCTGGGGAATACGATGACATCGAAGGCTATTCAGACGCTAGTTTTGTCGACCGCGAAAATTCCGAAACCACTTGTGGTTACGTCATTCAGTTGTTTGGTGATTCTATTATTTGGAGAACTTACAAACAATCTTATGCAGCTCTATCAACATGTCAAGCAGAATCTGTGGCAATGAGCGAGACAAATGAGGAATTGCTTTCGATGTACAACTTTCTGAAGTTGATTTTGGTAGAACCTCCGTTGCCTATGACTCTATGGTGTGATAATAGAGCGGCAACAATTGGTGCGGAAGCTGATGGAGGAAATCGACTGAGACACATAATTGATGTTAAAGAACTTCATATAAAGCAATGTGTGAAATTGAATTTGATAAAAGTTAAGTGGATTCCATGAAGGGACCAGTTAACAGACTTGTTTACTAAACCTTTAGCATTCGAACTGCATAAAAGACAAGTCGATAAAATTATGAATTCCAATATTTAATCTTCTATATCTGTTTGTTTATTTAGGTCACAAAGAATCCAAGTAAAAGAGTTAAGGTCTGAATTGAAAAACTCTCCAGAGAACAACTGAAGCAGTCGGGAGGGAGTGTCGGAGTTTGGCACCTGTTCCAGTTCTCTATCCTACCATTACTCATACTTTACTGCTTTGTATAGATGGCGTGCATGCGCCGATCGCCTTAGCAACAGTGACTGTGCGACGCACTTTACTTGGATACGCGCTGTGGTGCGAGACACTGTACTTATATTCTAAAATACACTTTCATTATTAAAGTAAATCTGTGTTTAATTATTTTGATATCCTGAAGATCCCCAAATACCAACAATAAATAATTATTTCATCTCGATTACTCTTTTAATTTCGAGTCATTGAGTTTTTAGTGATCTCAATTACGTAGAAATAATTGATTTCAGTCGAATAGAGTCAATGAAATCATGATGAGTCATGAAATAACTGAAACTCATGCTTGAAATCAATGAAATCGTGAATTCAATGCAGTCATTTAAATCACTGATGTCGTCAGGTGAAATCCACACAATTCCGCTCGCATACGCACTCACACGAACAGCTCGCATGTAACGCTCGCTCAGCTCACGCACGATTGATCGATTCACCTCAGATGACCTCTCACTTCTGACACCTAAGGTGTCACTTGGTGGACAGGTGTTGTGTGAACGCCCCCATTTCAATTGGGTCACGTTTACACCGCTGGATATTCGCTACCTGCTACCTCGTGGACCATCAATCTCTCTCATTTGCATATTGCTTTCCGCACGTGTACTTCACTTTTGTTCAATTTCTGTTCCGTTTTACTGCTCTACTCTTAATTGTCTGCACTGCTCTCTTTATTGATTATGCTTAATCAAACTGACCAGTTCATTAACATTTTAATTGTGACAAAAAGGTGATAATTTTGATTAAAATGACTGCTGAGTAAAGTGCACGGGTTGAGAGTCAAAGGCCCGCCATCCCACTCGCGAGAAATCCGTTTACATCTCATCCATCCTTAATTCATTCCACCAAGTCCAGGCTAATCATCGAACATTAGCTCCGTGAAGTGAGCAGATCCGGGTGATTAGATCGGGTCAACAATTAGCTCCAAAATACGGGCTCCTTATGTGCTTTTTTCTGCAGAAAAATTCAATTTTCTGCTTAAATGTTTTGGCAAAAAAATCGTTTTTTGAGTTTGGTGCGTTAAGCTCAAGGCACAGAACAAAATATGTGCTAATTTTCTGCAGGAAAATAATTTCATTTTACCCCGAATTTGCCTGGACATCAAATATGGTCAGGTGAGGGTGGGTCGGAATCCTCGGACCCTAGGATGGCTAGATACAATCGGGGAAATATGTGCTTTATTTTGAAGTCAACTGGAAATTTTCTGCTTCAATATTTTTTGGGGAAAAATGCAATTTTTCAGTTTGTGAAGTGTATCTAGCAGACAAATGTGGTCAATTGAAAAAAATGGATACACTATGGGGACATTCTTTGTCAAACCAGACAGTCATTTTTCTCGACTTCTCAGAATTTTTCACCAATTTTTGAAGGTGTGCTGTGACTCGAAAAAAGTTCCAGATTTTTTCACAATTTTGGTACTGTTCATTCTTTTTCTGAAATTATATTTTCTTGGCTGATAAAAATACTTTATTTCTGTGGTTCTATGCGTTCAAAAATGATTATTAAAATAAAGTGTACTTTTTCTGAGCTTTAAGATGGAAAAGTCATTAAAGGTTGGAAACCATTAAGAGGTCAATTTTCTCGAAAAAAAGAGGAAAATAATTTTTTTTCTTTACTTGGACACTTTTAATCATTGCTATATTTTTTGCCCTCATTTGTCAAGCTCTGAGATCAGAAAAGAAATGTCAAGGTGGAAAGCGAAAATTTAGTAGCGAAGCGATGAAATACCTTTATTTAAGGTCCATTAAAAATTTTCTGCTCAATCACTACGTACTTGAGACTTGGGTGTTTTAAATGGGTCAATTAAAAATGGCTTCCTTTGCCCCCCAGGTAGTCAATGCATTCAATAGATCATATGCTTCAATTTAAGGCCCATTAGAAATTTTCTGCTTGATCACTGTGGGCTGGAGACACCCCTGTTCTAAATGCGTTAATTCAAGATGGCTTCCTTGGGCCCCGGATGAGCGTTGACTCATTCTGAGGCCCAAGAGGCCATGGGGCTCAAGGAAGCAATCCTTTCTGTGAATTATGTGCTTCACTTTTAGGTCTAAACATTGAACCATATCACAATAAACAGTTCCAAGACTTCTTCTAACAGAAAAAAATTTCAGGTTCATTTTCATTCGGGGCCCGAAAAGACCAACTTGAATAAAGAAATACAGATCAATGAGAACTCAGGCCTCAGTAATCAAGCAGAAAAATTCTAATAGTCCTTGAATTGAAGCATATGATTCATTGAATATATCAACTCATCAGGGGGCCCAAGGGAATCACCTTGAATTGCCTCATTGGAATAAGTGAGAACTCAGGCCCTCAAGTCATCGAGCAGAAAATTCCCAATGGGCTCTAAATTGAAGCACATGATTTATTGAACATACTGACTCACCATGAGGGCCAAGGATGCCATCTTCATTGACCCACATAGATTAGTGAGAACTCAGGCCCTTAGTAATCAGGCAGAAAATATATAATGGCCCTTACATTGAAGCACACGATTCAATGATGGAATTCATCCATGAGGTGGGGGGTCCAAAGGAGCCACTTTCAATTTGCCCATTTAGATTGGTGACTACTCAAGTCCTTAATAATCGAGCAGAAAATTTATAATGGGGCTTAAATTTCAATCCAATGATCCTAGGGTCCGAGGAATCTTTTCTTCCTCTACCCGTACTTGACCACATTTAACCTTTCCAAAAATGGGGCTAAAATAGGGAAAAATGAAAATTATTTTCCTGCAGAAAATGAGCACATATTTGGTTCGTTACTATTGTGCACTAATTGACTCCATTCAACTTCATTGGTCTGGTAGGTAAATGCTCCAAAGAAAAAAATCGAAATTCCCACCAAAATATTGAAGCAGAAAATTTGAATGGACTTCAAATAGAAGCGCGTCTTTTCCCGAACATGTCCACCGATGCTAGGTTCCGAGGAATCCACTATACCCCTACCCTCATCTGTCTACATTGGACGTCCTGGAAAATTCGGGGAAAATTCCAGAAAAATGAAGTTTGGCTATTGTGCATGAATTATCTCCATTCGATCCCATTGGTCCGCTAGCTTAATATCTCAAACTCATGAGGTGAGTTCCAGGCTCATCGAGGTGGTCATTCTTCCCGCGATTGTTGTATATGTACGTCGGGTGGCACTGTCCCTTCACGATCGCCCCTAGGAGTTTGATTTGGAATAAACCCCTCTACTCCGAGTGCTCCTGTTTGATAAAAGACGTTGCTTGGTGTAGAAAATTGCTGTCCAAGTATCTCATCGTTCTCCTCCGTTTCTTTATCCCCCTCCTGAATCACCTCGATGTCCTCGAAGGGATTTTCAGGTATATTCCGTGAAGGATTCGCAGGATAAGAACATACGCTGATACAGTGATTGGGTATATCTCCATTGCACGTTAATATTACTGTTGATATTCCCATTACAATTGAGTAGATTTCATCTCAGCCCCGGTCCCGAAATGGAGTAAGACTCGAAATCAGGTTCCTCTCGTTGACTACCATTCGCTCCAGTAGTTCACATCGTTGATTATTTATCCCTTGGCCAAAAATAAAATAATCTTACTTGAGTAGCTATTCATCTCAATACTAGCCCCTTCTGTCATGGTAGTTTCCTGCTATACTAGCCCTTTTGATACGACGAAGTACTAGGGTAGGTTTTCGCTGGCTCACCAAAATGGTAATTCTCGCCCCCTCGATAGAAGGGTTGTTACAAGTGCTGGCCAGTTTTCAGTCAGGTAGTTCAATTCCTCCAGATACTATCTCGTTTTCCATTGTTGTGTGATTAGACAGTGAAATTTTTTGAAAAATCATAACTCGCCGGAAAAAAATCGAATCGCTCTAAAAATTTCATGAGAACTTGGTTTTGTGGAGTCCTAAAAAAAATCGCCAAGACAATCGGAAACATGACATTTTTTTCATTTCAGATTTGACGTGGAATTGCTCCTATAGAATTTCTGTAGACATTTCCATTCGTTTTTAGCCGATTCTATTGAACATTTTCATAACTCTTCTCCAGTTTTTTCTTGGTCGAAATATCTAATTTAAAAGATTATAAAACTACGAATTGTATTTCAATTTTATTTAGATATTTTTCATGAAAATTGCTCGAAAAAATCGGAGACAAAATAATAATGTGCAAAAACTGAGAAAATGAATGCCCAGGATTTTTTAAAATTTTCATTAACGTCGCCCTGCTTATAGCCCTGGAAATTTCATCATGAATTACTCAAGGAAATAAATGAACCCCAAAACCAATCCCAATGAATCTTCTTTATCTGTAACAAAATCATGGAACGTTCATATTCAGGTTTTTTTTTCATACTAGCGCCGCCGCAAGCAGCCGCGACGGTGATGCCCTTCTATTATGCCTTTTATTTATTTTTTTTCTGTTTCTTTCTCAAAATTTTTATTTATCATCGCCTTATTAAACTGAGTGTTAAAGTTAATGGACACAATGCTTATCGGTTCATCACCTGTTCAGTTTGAATATTTCACTAATTGATTCACTAATTCTGAATTTCAGTGCGCACTGAATGATGTTCTAACTATAAGTCTCATCAAAATTCTATTCAGAATGCAAAACAATAATTATTAAGGATGTACTACACCCTTTCGGCCAAAATTCACGTTTTTTTTTATTTTTCTGGCAAATTATCGATCGGATTGATGCGAAATAATATACCGTTTTTGCGTTTTATCATTATTGACTGATTCACGAAGTTTCATAAAAGTGCAATCATCTTCCTGTATTTTTAAAAAAAATTTGTGAATTTCCGAAAAGTTTAGAAAAAACGTAGGAAAATGATTACACGATCATGAAATTTCGTGAGTTATTAAGTAATGATAAGACGCAAAAACGGTATATTTTTTCACCTCAATCCGATCAACAATTTGCCAGAAAAATTCAAAAAACGTGAATTTTGGCGAAAAGGGTAATCCCCATCCCGATTTGTGTGTTCTTTAAGGATACATCCTTAAAGTTCTCAAAATCAAGAATTTTAAAGTGTTTACAACCCCTTTTATTCTCCTTCATACCTTTACAAAAGCATTT